TTCAGAGGAAACTGATTATGCTATCGAGCAAACATCATATTATGCAGTGGCCAAGAAGCATCACAAGTCAAAAGCTCCGTTTCTCCACACCAAACTTCATTAAAAAAAGTTGTGTGGGCACTATGTCCGCATATTTGAAGTGAAACTTGTTACGAACAGCTATTAAATTGAAGGATTTGAAGAATATGTTTGGAAAAGTGTAGATCGTAATGTTGAAAAAGTAATTAATTAAAAATTATTAAATAATTTCATACACTTTCCCAAAATTTGTACTAAAATGTCCGTCTGAGGAGTCCATTCGGGTATCTCTATCCACGTGGCGAGTTTGGTTCCAATCGACTCAGACTTAAGAAAAAATCCTGATGATTTCGTCCATTTAGATGCATCGGTTCGAAAGGTCGAGGGCGTCATCCGGTAGTCCGTCCCCAATTATACTGAAATCGCCCCACGTTTTTCTTCAATATTAAATCCTCAGTCCCACCTTGATGAAGATGTAAACGAAACGTCGTATCCAACTTTGCAGGGTCAGACCGAGTGCACCGTCGCACAGTGTGACGAAATTGAAAAACAATGGACATCAATGATTTTAAATTAGCGAATGTTAGTATTGATGTAATTATCATGAATATTGATAAAATTGAGCGAAAATACTTTTTCAATTTATTATTACAGAGCCTGTGGTATAAGTTTATTTAGAAACAAAAAAATCGCAGATCTAAAGAAATGCTAAAAATAAAACAACATATTCTTACCTAATTGTAAATAATGTTAGTTAATGTAAATTATCCTCATCTCCTACTTTCCACACATATCCATATCATCTAATAATTCCTTCGCTTCTGGATATAGTGAGAAATTCTTTTTCCAACTGTATTTTCGTCTAATAGATGAAATAAGTGGGCCTGACGAAATTAACAAATTATGCAAAATATCTTCCATGTTTTGTTTTCTGCCAATTTTTCTAGAAAAGTTTTGACGGAATGTCCTAAATTCTTTATTTCTAGCTTCGGAAGCTCCTTCGGTCAATTTCCCGATTGGAATCAAATTAAAATTTATACAAATATCTGCACCATATATCAAAAGGATGTGAACACTTGAGGGTTATATAATATCAGCTGTATAAAGATACGTACATCTCTGCAGTGACATTCAAGTACGCACGAAACTTTTCGAAATTTTTTTTCTCATATGAAGTGACTTGAAGGATAACTGCAAACCGATAAATTAGGTTGCTGTCTATACCAGTTATTCGCGAGGTTACTTCGTGATTCTGAAGAAAGTTCTGGCCGTGTTACCATAGTTTGTTGTTCCATGTCCTTGTTTAACGACATCCAATATTATTCCTAGCTCATCTCTCAATGCTTTTTTAATCGCTTTCTTTCTTTCTTCTTTCAACGTTTTGTTTTCGCCCTTTGCCGACCATGACTTAAAATCTATATTGTATGCAATATGAAGGATACATTCCATACATCTTATCCACAAATGAGGGGTTGAAAGTTTTTGCGCCTTCATTGGAATCCGTATCGACTAACGCAAAATAAATACCTCTGCAGAATGTGAAATAAAAGCACTTTTTTTTAAGAATAGCAAATATTAGCGTGATGTAAAGTGTGATATATGTTTTATGTTAAGAACATTTTTTTTCACATCGCAGAAATCCGCCCAACATGGCTTATATTCAAAATCGACTGCGTTCACTGATGCTCGGATGTTTCCTTGACTAATTAGCTTAGCGAAAATCTAGGTACAATCTCTCAATCCCTCAATCTGGAACTGGGAACTGGAACATTTGGCAGAATAACATTTTTTTTTTAATTTTCAGGTGGAAAAGTATCTGGATTTTCCGGGGGATTTTCGTTATTAAAAGTTAGTTTAGAAATTAGAAATATTCGAGAATGTTGATAGCCGAGCTGACGAATGCTCTTAATAAAGCGGATTTTTGCGATGTGATGCAACTTTTCTAGACATCTAGCTTAAGCTTAAAAAGTTCCTGTATTTTTTCCAAAAATAGTTGAAAACTTTTTAAAATGTTTTTGATATTATAATAATCGTGTTATATTTGGTTTTATTTGTTTTTGTCAAATAAAAATGACAAATAAAAATATTTTTGAAGGTTCTACAGTTTTTCATTTGGTTTGTTAAAAAAAACGAAATATTCTAAATTATTTTTTTGAAAGCTATATGTAAGCTAACTTGTTATTTTATTACAAGTGAGCAGATGCCTCCCAAAAGTGAATTTTAGGAAATGAAACTTACCTTTGAAAGGCACCTGAATATATTTCTCAATACTAAGTGAAATTAATACTCAGATATGAGTACTAATCGAGTTAACTGTAACACAAATTTGAGTAAAAGTCACTCAATAAAAGGTGTACTTGAACTCAACACTTAGTGAGTTCACTCATTTTACAGTGAATAAATTATCAAAATCGATCAAAATCCTACTCAAGGTAAACCATAATGAGTAAAAAAGGAGTCTTTCGTCTAATCTCGATTGAGTGAAAACACTCAGTGCTTTTCACTCTGCGAATTGAAGATTCACTCAGTTCTGTAGAGTGGAAATTTCACTCAATCGGGTGTGGACAAAAATTGAGAGTAAGTATTGAGTGAAATCTGAGTGAAATTTCCCTCATTTTTTTTACAGTGTAACAATTCGATATTGAAGAAAAATGTGGGACGATTTCGGCATAATTGGAGACGGGCTACAGGATGACGCCCTCGACGTTGACGTTTCGAACCTATCGATGCCTCTAAATGGACGAAATCATCAGGATTTTTCTTAATTATGAGTCGATTGGAACAAAACTCGGCACGTGAATATAGGCATAAAATAATTAACTAGAAAGAAGTGTCAACTCTGTGTTAAATCGTGGAAACACGATACGCCACCGAAAGCCTTCGTTGTCGTCTGGAGAACTAATTTTCCAATTGACAGGTTGACATGATGGCTTCATTTTTATTTCCGTTTCCGGTTATTCAATGGCGGGCCCTCTTTCAGTTTAAATGTATTTCGTTCGATAAATAAGAGGTCATCACTGTTTAACAGATCCATCAACCTAAGTGGATCAAAGATGCGCTCCGCTAGCAGGTAAATTATAAAATTTAAATATGTACACACTCATCCTGAATCGGCTGATTTATGTTACCTCGTTCCGAAACCGACTTCGATCACAAAAACGTATTTTCAAGAGATGACGTGATGCCGCGCTCTCGTAATTTGAATATAAAATTGCAGTTGAGTCTATGTAATTAGACGGTTAAACTAGAGCCTGAGGCGCTGGAACAACACCCAATAAATATTAAAATGGGATTAATTGTTGGGTTGGTGAACCGTAAACAATATAATGGACGAAAAAGAAGAAATTGCTAGGTTTAGAAGTTTTTTTTTGTTATGGTACTAACGGGATATTTCGGCCATTACCACACACGTTGATCTTGTATTTTTATAGGAATAGGAAATATTTTAATATTTAAATAATACTTGATTATTTGTTAGCCATCTAATGTTTCAAAACAAAATTAAAATCACCATTTAGAATCGTATTGCTAGCGATAAAATATCAAATAAAAATTTCGAACATTACTTAACATAATTTAATTAAGAAATGGTAATAAATTCCTCAAATAGGGAACACATAAACTACGCTTTGCGTGTACCGCTACCGCATTTGTAATTAACGAATATCTTGGGTAATAAAACGCAGCGCAGCTAAAAATATCTCACTCCACCTGTTCGGCCAGACGGACATACTATATGGTACTTATGTTCGTATATTGTAAATTTATTCAATTCAAAATTCAGTACGAATCGTTTGAATTTCTATTAGGAGTATACATATACCAAAATGTAGTTTTATTTTACTTCTACTCTTGTAGAGGTAAATAAACTCTAGGTTAATTTAAATCTAGAAACAGAATTTGAAATTGAATTTGAATAATGAAATTTGTCTTTGCTTATTGCTTATATTTGTCATTTTCGATTTTATATTTTTTTCAAATTTAACTTGGTCGTTTTCAATTTTATTCTAATTAAACAAAGTTGCGATTTTCATTGCAATAAAATCTGAAAACCACTGCACAGTCGGAATCAGAATGGCCTAACAAGAATTTTCTATTTTTGGACCATTTGCAAAAGCAATAATATCTTTGAATAAAAAGATTAAGTAAGGAGCATATCAAAAAACTTCAGGTCGAGCGCGATGGGGACCTAAAATGGCTGACTTAAATTTCGGTTTTGTCAGTGCCGTTCTAATTTTATTCAAAACGTGTAAAAATATGAAGTATGGTACTCAGTACTTTGTTGCTCAATTTTACATTGTCAATAAATGTTAGTTGTTATTAAAATTTTTATAAAAATATATAATTCTAATAAAAATAGATAAGTTATAATAATTATTTAATGATAGAAATATCCGATACGCTACTGAAGCAGGTAAGTCAAATTGCCATATCTAAATTCTTTGAAAAGTAGTAAATGAAAAAATGTTAGTTAATTTAAGTGAATTTCATAAATGATCGGTTTACTACACGTATGTATATTATATAGTCACTATTACTAGTGAAAAGTTATTCCATTATTTCCCTCGATTTTCGATCGACACAATCAACTATTATGTCACTGTTAATTTAAGTATTTTTAATAATAGTTTAAAGAATTTTGAATTTTTAATAATATAATAAGTATTTTTTATTATTAGTAGAAAAATTTCTCTCAAAAAAATTGCTTTATACATTTAATACCTCTAAACAACTATCAGTTGTAGAATGAATCTTTTTCTTTCTCTGCTTATCCATTAATGGATGTTTGCGACCACACTTTCCATGGCTTCCCTATCTCTTGCTGTGTGGATCAACGTCTGTATGTTACTAATTCCTGTCCACTGTCTTATGTTCCGCAGCCACGACATTTTTTTCCATCCCAAACCTCTTCTGCCCTCGATCTTGCCCTCGATATTTATGGTTACGCATGACGTGACCCTGGTATGCGGTCTTTCTTTGTTTTATAGTATTGAAGAGAGAACGTGAACTCTATTAATACGTCTTAGTACATCCTCGTTTCTTATCTTGGCCGTCCATGGTATCTTGAGGATTCTGCGGTATATCCACATTTCGAAAGCTTCCAGTCTGTTTATGGCACTTGCTTTTAGTGTCCAACTCTCCACGCCGTAGAGGAGTACCGACCAGACGTAGCATTCCACAAATCTCAACCGAAGCTCAAGGTCGAAATCGCTACAGGTGAATACTTTTTTAAATTTCAGGAATGCGCCCCGGGCTTCCTCGATTCTGTACTTAATGTCCCTGTTAGATGACCAGTCCTCGTGAAGCCAAGCTCCCAGGTACTTGAATTTTTCGACTCGTTCTATGAATTTTACCCGTGCTGATTGGTGCGAGTATAGGTTTTCGATACATCGGATGTCTTTCTGGTCTAAATCCAATCTCCTGAGAAGCTGCATAAGTTTATGATGTTGAACGCTATCGAAAGCTTTTTCGTAATCTATAAAACATAGACAGGCATTCTTTCGCTGGTCGTAGCAGTTCTGTACTAATATCTTCGTCGCGGCCAGTGCTTCCCTGTTGCCTAACCCCTGTCTAAATCTAAACTGTGTGTCACTCATGGCATCCTCACATCTTCCGTACAATCTCCGATGTATTATTCTCAGGAATATTTTTAGAGAACGACTCATGAGACTAATGAGTCTGTGTTCTTCACATTTTCGTGCGCTGATCTTCTTTGGTATAGGGATAAAAGTTGAAGATAACCATTGTTCCGGATAGTGACCAGTGTCATATATTCGGTTAAACAACTTGGATAGAACTGCAATGCCTCCATGAATAAATAATAAATAACATAAAATAAGCTCAGTAAAGACCGACAAATCCACAAAATTTCAAATCAAATTCAAATGTTTAGTCAAATGAATCGTTAAACAGAACTGTCAAGGATTCTCACCTAAGGTCCCCATCTCCGTCTACCATGCATGAATGCATGGATAGCATTATACTCCTTCCTGAAACTTTTTATTGAAAGAATAAAACTAACTTCAAGGTTATAGAGGAATCACTTTAAAAGACTCTTAACAGAAATTATTTGAACTAGTTATGCATTTTTGGCCTATGGTATTATATACGTCCATATATTTAAAAACTGTACCTATTTTCATTTTAAATGAGTATTTCCATATGATTGATCGATGCAAACTATCTATATCTTTTGCAATTTTCTCCATAGCTTAGTTACTTGTCGTTTTCCGAGAGCTACTAATTAAATTTAACAAAAAGATCATTTCCCCACCGGTGTATTTTGCGTCGATCTGCTGGTTTTGTTGTGCTTGTCGATGCATCCGGGTATAGCTTGCGCCTTAAGGGTCTTTGCCACTTTAGGTGTTGACTTTGAGGGATTGCTTTTAAATGAATATGTTTAAAATAAATGAACTGTAAATTATACGCGGATAGTCCAGTTAAAATATCATTGTCTCTGTTATTGAATGCTAATAACAGTGTTACAGGCCGATATCCACCTCAAAGATATAGTTTAATCATGTTCTAAATATATTTGAATGCAGTGTGCCTTCACCAATTAATAGAATACTTAAATGCTCCTGATTTTATCTAGTCTGTTTTTTTTTATGAGGATATGTTAAAGAGAGTGTTTACAAAACTCGACCAACTAGTGTCGACATGAGAGAAATTATTGTAGCTGCTTTTCGAGGTAGAACTTCACATATGCCTTTTAAAACGAAAAGATCCTTTTGAAAAGACAACCATTTTATGCAGTTAACAGGAAGGGAAGCATTTTGAGCATTTGATTTCATCTAGCTAATTTTTGTCGCATAATTGTAATAAGTATATAATAAATAAGTGTAATATCTAGTTTTAATTCTGTAATAATTAAAATATGTTTTAAACGTGTACGTTTTTATTACCCTTGAGTATTTTACTCTTCAATCTTTATTTTTTGTTAAATTAACAAAAGGTATATCACACAGCCACCTAGATTGTTTAAAATAATAAAGATTTTCTGACGCAAAATCATAAAAATTAATATATCTGGGAAAATATTTGTCTGAGCGGTAGGCAACCTTAATAATATTTTGAAGATATATAAATTCCCCATTGAACACCGGAAAAATATACTGGGGAGTAACTTGCTTTTAAAAGTGACTAATGTTACATATTAATTTTGTCTCATTCTGTATAACTTTTCGGGTCAAATTTCAATTTGGTTTTACCTACAATGGTTACTGTAATTAAATATCAGGCGATACAAGGTCAACTAAAATTTAGGTAGCTGTTATCGAAATTTGAAATTTGCTCTTCATTTTCACAAAATGTGAAATATGTCAAAATCCTTAGATTTTAGGTATATGCTTCTTTAATAAAACTCACCTTTATTTTTTTCCTAGAATCTTAAAATCAATTAATATATATGGTGTTCCATTAGAAAAAAACTTTGATGTGTATTTTTTTTAGGGACACCCTGTATAATTCTATATATTTTTATAATATTCTTTCATTTAACCTACATATGCTGCCAAAATTTCATTTCGATATAAACTACCGTTTTCCTTGGAGCTTCCGCGGCGTATGAGAGGCGCCACCCTATACAGTAGAAGACCGATTTTAAACAAAAATCTTATAATGAAAAACTTCCCTACGTAACCAAACCGTTAAATGACCAAATTTATTATAGAATTTCGCATAAATAGCGTTGGGAAAACTACATGACTACCAAACCGAAACTACGAAAAATCTATTTCTCCAAATGTTGGCGCTGTTTCCTTTTCTGGCTGAATAATAAGCAGCGTATATAAGTGTGCACGACCCTAGACCGGATTGGCGCGAGCCGCTGACCGTGTTATATTTCTAATATTAATTATAAACAATACTAATTTCCGTATACAGACTGGGACAGGTGAAACCAGTGCCATTACTTATTATTAAGCGCGCGTACCGGTTTCGAGTAAGTACCTTACGAGTGTGTACCACCTTGCAGGGGCGTACTTAGGTACGAAATATATCACTTGGTTTTGGGATCGGCGCGCAACCATATCGTACCTACGCGATAAATCGTAATAGGTATACGATAAATCTTACGAGAATAGGTGTTTATTATGCCGGATTTGTATGGTATTTTTTATCTGGCAGTTCAAGTAAAGATGTTCTACTTGTATCTAAACTATTATACTGAATATACAGGGTTGTTCACCACATACGACACGGAGTATTGTAGCCTTGGGTTCGATGAAGGACTATTAGAGGTACAATTTAAAAATAATTTTACAAGATACAGAGTGTCCCAAATAAGTAAAAAATATCAAAGTTGTATTTTTTTAAATGGAACACCCCGTATATTATTGCATTTTTAGTTTCTACGATTAAAATAAAGGTAAATTTGATTAAGGTTTATTATACTTAAACCTTACCGTTTTTGAAATATTTTCAATTTTGTGAAATTGCAGTAAAAATTTTAAGGCTTCATTTCTCTAAGGGTACCAAAGTTTTTAATACTAAATATTTACTGAAGTTTATTTATTGATCAGTTATTGTGTTACAATAATAAAAATAATACTACCTTATAGAGAGTGTCTAAAAAGTTATTTTAAATAATTATTAGCTTCAAACGGCAATAACTTGTTTAATTTGAATGGAACACCCTGTATATTTTACGAGAATCAGATGCACAATTTAATTGTCTATCAAATTATATTATACCATTTTTTACCTATCACTTTAAGTTTCCGTAGAAAATGCATTTTCTTGTAATTTAGAACTTATTTATCAATATACCCATGGAATATTGACATTTTTATTTTTAAAGATGTACCAAATTTTTAAAGAGTACAGATATTAATATTGTGGATATAATTCGTTTATTTCATTAAAAAATAAAAAAACTGTTTAAATATTTGTTAAAGAGGACCAATTAATATGTTTCCAGTATTCAAACTGCATTAACTTACTGCGTTCATTAATAATAATTGCTCCAAATACTAAAAAACTGAATTTTGTATGGGTATTAGACAGTGTGATAAAAAGTAACACCTTAAAAATGATATTTCATTTTTTAATAAATGCTTATTTATAACAACAGAGACTTTAATTTTGATAACTTATTATTATATTGATTTCTGACTCCAAATCCACATTTATTTAGAATAATTTATTAACGAATACAATTAAGTATGTAATTAATTAGTATATGGGCGGAAATAATGGTGTTATATTTAATTAATGGTATACTTTTTTATAAAGATTTAAATAGTTTTCTTTTTGCATACAACATTATCGTTTTTAGCAAAACGATAATATTACTAGAATGTCAATATGTGATGTCAATATTCCATGGGTTTCAATAATAAAATGTCAATATTCCATAAATGAGGTCTAAATTCTAAATTATAAGAAAATGCATTTTCTACGAAAAGTTGAAGGGATAGGTAAAAATGGTATAATACAATTTGATAGACAATTAAATTGTGCATCTGATTCTTCTAAAATACACAGGGCGTTTCATTTAAATTAAAGAAGTTATTGGCGTTTAAAGCTAGAAATTATTTAAAATAAATTTTTAGACATTCTGTATAAGGTAGTATTATTTTTATTATTGCAACACAATAACTGATCAATAAATAAACTTCAGTAAATATTTAATATTAAAAACTTTGATACCCTTGGAGAAATGAAGCCTTATGCCCACTTGCACCGTTTGTATAAACTTTGTTTAAAGGCCAAACAGTGATTATCTATAATAAAATATGTATAGTTAATCACTGTTTAGCCTTTAAACAAAGTTTATACAAACGGTGCAAGTGGGCATTAAAATTTTTACTGCAATTTCACAAAATTTAAAATATTTCAAAAACGGTAAGGTTTAAGTATAATAACCCTTAATCAAATTTACCTTTATTTTAATCGTAGAAACTAAAAATATAATAATATACAGGGTGTTCCATTTAAAAAAATACAACTTTGATATTTTTTTACTTATTTGGAACACTCTGTATCTTGTAAAATTATTTTTAAATTGTACCTCTAATAGTCCTTCATCGAACCCAAAACTTGAAATTTGTAAAAATATAACCGTTTAGCTACAATACTCTGTGTCGTATGTGGTGAACAACCCTGTATACTTAATGCATTACAATTATTAAATTACTTACAAAATGTAAAGAAAAACATAATTATGAATATCAACGGTACATAGGTACTATAAGTCAGTGGTTTCCAACCTATGGGGCGCGCTCCCCTAGGGGGGCTCGAGACAGTTGCAAGGGGGGCATGCAGCTGTTTTCAAAATATCATTTTCGAATACAAACCAAAAATTTACCAGTATTTTTGTACATTTAAAATTAGTTGTTCTTATAATAAATAATTATTTTTACGTATATTTTAATATAATATTGTATATTATATTGTAGCCCATTAAATAAATAATTATAATATCAGTTGAGTATTTACGAAATTAGATTGTTAGAGAAATTAAGGGGGCGCAACAATTTTTTTAAGGGAGTGGCGCAGGTACCAAAAGGTTGGAAACCACTGCTATAAGTAGTTGTAAATATAAATATTTTGATAGGATTTTATCAATGTAGTACATATATGATCAAATAAATACCAAGATTTGTTTTAGAGAACGTAAATACAATTTATACGTCAAATAATAATCTGAAACTTAGCTGATTTA